CGTTTACGGCGAAGGCTCTATGACTGACTGAATCGGATTGAACTGGATCGAGTTAGGTATCGTTCTTTCCGTAATATTCTAAGCTTTCTGCAGAGGTCTGTCTCTAAGCGCTATTCATTTTAGTTCCGAAAATATTGTAGCAGACAGCTGACGCTGCTGACGTGCGTGTATTTGTAAACAGCTAGGTTACCCTCGGACCGATGACTGATGTGTTTTATTACGTTTATCATTGTTTTAGTGTTAAAAATCAAAAGTAGTGATATACGTGGTGCATTATAAGAAGATTTAAGTGGTTTTGAAGTGCTGGTTGATGATCCTGAAGAAGTAGGTAGTGATATTGATGTAAATTATCAGCCAGATTCCTAGCTATGGTTAGGCTATGCATTCTTAGCTAAACGCTATGTACTGAAATCAGTTTTTTGCCCATAACTTATTTATTTGCAAATCTACTTCCTTATATTACTATATATTTGTAATCCTCATAAAATTTAGAACAAAGTGGCTATTTTCAAATATTTATAGGCCTATAATTTATACAATTTCATTGAGCGCAAACTTATTTTTTTTTTTGAAAAATTTCGAAATTATATTTTTTTTACCTAAAAAATTTTTTTTTTTTTAAATGTTCCTTATGTTTTATATATAATATTGAAGCCCATGATTTTCCAAACAAAATGGTATATAGAACATTAGAATTAACTTTGTTTTAAGCTTCTCAGATTCGTTTTAATAAAACCTTGCAAATGCGCCAAAAATAGGTGGACATTAAGGCCTAAACTATGGACACTTGGAGGGTTAATGCATTTGGATACAAAAGACAGGCATATAATTGTAGGATCAGACTTCAATATAGATTTATTAAAGAAAGACAATAGTTATCATAGATTCATTAATGAAATAGAAAGTTTTAACTTGAGACCAAATATAACAGAGCCTACCAGGATTACAGAGTCCTCTAGCACTTGTATTGACAATTTCCTCACAAATTTTAGACCATCACATGCTTCAACAATTGAACCTCATATTTCCGATCACCGTGCCATTTCTATTCAAATAAATGTAAATACAGTTAATTCTAATAGACACTATAAAAATCAAGCCTCGATAGAAAAGAGAAACATAACCACAGAAAATCTTAGAGAATTAAAATTTAGACTTAAATATGAAAACTGGAATTCTGTGTACGTGGCAAATGATGTCAACGAGATGTATAATAGCTTTATTGACACGTTAAAGTATCACTTTGATATTAGCTGTCCATTAGTTAAAAATAAAATAAAAACAGGAAATAAGAAAAGGTCCAAATGGATGACAGCGGACATTCAAAGGTCAAAGGAGGATATGTTCCAGCAATACTCAATATGGAAGCTCACAAAATCAGCCCATGATAAGAAAAAATACATTGAACTTAAAGACAATTATAGGAGAAAAATCCAAATAGGAAAGTTAAATTGGGCTCAAGAGAGTATAACCACATCAAGAAATAAATCAAAGGCCTCTTGGAATGTTATTAATAGCTTAAGAACACAAAAGAAAGATAATAGCACCAATATAAGCTTGAAAATAAATGACAGAACCATAGAGGATCCTTGCCAAGTCGCAGAAACATTTAACACATATTTTGCAAACGTATCAAATCTTGTAAATGGCAACCACCTAGGCTTCCAATTTTCAGGTTTTCCTAGCAATGATAATACAGACTGCAAAATGACCGATTTTTCTCAGATCACACCTCAAAAACTGGATGATATCATCTCCAAAATGGAATCTAAAAAATCTAGCGGAATCGATGAAATCAGCATGCACACACTGAAATTTTGCAAATCTGAGATTTTACTGCCGTTGACTCACATAATAAATTTTTCCTTAAAAACTGGGTTTTTCCCCGAAAACTGCAAAGTAGCTAAAGTCAAACCTCTTTTCAAAAAGGCGGACAGAACCGATCCGGGCAACTATCGTCCAGTCTCGCTTCTTCCGTCAGTCTCAAAATTAATCGAAAAAGTTGTTTCGGAGCAACTTACTGAATTCATTGAAGTGAACAATATTGTCTGTAATAGACAGTATGGTTTCAGAAAAAACAGATCCACAAAATTGGCTCTCATTGATTTTGTTAATGATTGTATCGATGCGGTTGAGGCTGGGGAGAAAGTGGTGGGTTGCTTCGCCGACTTGTCAAAAGCATTCGACTGTGTCGATCATATCATTCTTTTGGAAAAATTGGCTTCAATTGGCATCTCCGGAATTGTTTTCAAATGGATTGAGTCGTACATGACAAACCGACACCAAATTACTGAAATTAGAGGAAAATCAAATCACAAAATTAAAAATGTCATGTCGACTCCTCAAAAAATCACAAGCGGAGTTCCGCAAGGATCCGTCTTGGGACCTCTCCTATTCTTGGTTTACATTAATGACATCACCAACGCGATTCCAGAGTCTGATGACTACCTCTTTGCCGATGATACAACATTGGTCATGAAGGGTAAGGATGTTGAGACTCTGGAGGGCGAAGCAAATGAAAAAATTTCAGATCTTTCTAAATTTTTTGAAGCAAACAAACTCAGTTTAAATTCTCAGAAAACGAACTATTTGTGTTTTCAAACAGCACAAAAGCAAAATTCCAAAAATAATAGGACTCCGAACCTATTTATAGGAGAGAACCAAATTGAACAATCAAAAACGGCTGACTTCTTAGGGGTGAGGCTGGATGATAGACTCGGATGGGGCGAGCACATTTATGGATTAGAGAGATCGCTTGCTCGAGGACTATTCATTCTACGTAGGATGAGGTCATACGGCAGCGATGATCTGTCCAGGCTCGTCTATCACGGACTGTTTGAGCAGTACATTTCATATTCCATCATTTTGTGGGGTTCTTCCACCAAAAAGAATTTGGAAACAGTTTTTGTCTGGCAAAAAAAAAAACAATAAGAACCATCCTAGGCATGCCACCAGATGCCAGCTGCAGAGATGCATTCATCCAGCTTGGACTCTTGACTGTCCCATGCATATTCATCTACGAAGCAGTAGTATACATAAAATCACAACACATTCAACCTCATTTTGTTCATAGATCACAAATACAACACTAGAAACAAAGGAACTCATGCTCAACAACACAGACTAAAATTGTTTGAACAAAAACCTCACTATTCCGGTTTAAAACTTTTCCAAGCACTGCCAAAACAACTTCAAAACATTCAAAAACTCTCAAAATTCAAAACAGAAACCAAGTCTTTCCTGACAAAAAATGGTTTTTATGATGTGGAAGATTTTCTAAATTTAAAAAAACAGAGCCCTTTGGCCTAGGATGTGATTTTATTATAAGTTATTTTTTATTATTAGCCTATTACTGTATACCTATTGACCTGTACAATTCCTGCCCTGGACTACGGACGGAAACTACAAGTATTCAAGTAAGTAAGTATTCAATGTAAATGATGACTGTTTTACAGGTTTTCGCCGATGGTCTGTGTGTAGGCCTACTGTTTACCAAGTGACAGCCGGTCTAAGTATGTGTAAGATTCAATGTAGGCTATACCTCGGTCTGTGGCAATGACCGTGACGTCGCATGTATGCGACGCTCAGTAGCGACCATGTCAACTTACCATGAGACCTAGGTACCTACAGGGCCTAAGTTGAAAGACCTAACTAAGGTACCAGTAACTTATTCCCTAGCCTATAGCCTAAGTTAAGTTAGCCTATAGGAAATTGGCTTAACCCTTTCAGTGTTATGAAAGATATAGGTATCGTTGTTTTAAAAAATCTCTTTGAGATATAGAGAGGAAGGTTATTTTAACAAAAAAGTAGCAAAACGGCCATTGGTGACCTGTATGTTCATAGGATACACTAACAACCACTTAGCTAAAAGATTCGCCCAATCCGATGATTTCGAGGTGTAGCCTATGTCTAAACCAAGGATTATATGAACACCTCACTATGCCCCAGTGGTTGTAGTATATCGCTACAAACACACAGGTCACCAATTATTTGCCACACGGGACGGGAATCAAACCCGAGCAGACAAATGCCACCGGCCAAGTGACACACGCCCTAGCCTTCTCGGCTATCTGTGCTTGAAGACTAAGGAGTCAAAAACCGGTATTTAAGCTGACGCCACCGATTGCGAACAGATAGCGCTACAGATGGTTGTTCAATGCGTTACTAGGTAGCAGCACTAGTTAGTCACGGACTAACTTATTTAGATGATATTTTTCAGTTGAAACACAACAGTGATCATAAATGTGTTCCTGAGACTTTGCTGCAAAATATTATTTTCCCTAAAATGACTTTAAGTTATTACGATAACCTCGTCCAACTAAATCAAAGTTAAATTCAATATTACATTGTAAACTATATGTCTTTTGGTTTCATGAGATTTTGGTTTCAAACAATGCTATCAGAACATAAAAATTTATAGGAAAACCAGGAAAATTACAACAAAAACTAAGTTTTATTTAATGTTTAACTTACTAAAATAGGCTACCTTACCAGGATTTAGGCTAAATCTTTGTAAAGGTCTTTGTAGGTAGGGCTAGTTATATAATTTGTTATTGTCTTATTATTCAAAATTAGCCTAATTAATAAAATAGCGACAACATTACAGTTCAAATTCAACAACAGGTAAGTTAATGGAATTAAAAGGCAAACAAGAGTCTTAAGAAATTCAAATTTTTGGCCTAGCACTGAAAGGGTTAAAGAAACAACTTTATTAACTTGATGTTTTTATGTAGGCCTAGGCTGTAGCCTCCTAAGTTAGGTAGTAAAATTAAAGTTGATGCAACCAGCCTATAGGCTCAGAGCCTAAAAATATCGAACAGAATTGTAAATAGGCTTTGGCCAAGCTAGGCCTACTGCTAACTTAGTTATTAAATCCGATGAAATATCACAGGTTCCCTGCGGAACTGTTAACCACTTTTAGTTTATTTTAGATAAATGGTTTGCCACAAACAAAGATTAATTCATAAAATCGATGTTTACGAGCAAAAGTTATTGGTTACCTGTTAGAGTTATCCATTTGACAAAAAGGAAGCATTGGCTGAGCAATTATAGTTTGATCTAAAATCACTTATTTTAGTTGGTTTGAGAAGACAGAAAGCTCAATACTTGGTACATGAGCAAGAGAAATGTTGGAAAGTGGTAGAACCTACAAACATTAACTCATAATAATTTAGACTACTTTATCAAAAGTAAAAGTAAACACAACACATACACAACCCAAACAACTACTATCACGATGACACGATAACGTCAGTGTCACACACACACACATATTTTAAATTTTTTTTCTGAATCTGATCTGATCTTAACCATGAGTCCATAGTCCAATCCAAATCCAAGAACCAAGATCGAGCGAGACGGGGATCTACTTTGATCTACTGCACAGTTTTTATTTCAGCTGCAGTTTTTCTTAAGGTAACACAGCAGTCCCTATCCCGCCCATGTTAAAATGGCAGTTTTTAGGGGATCACATCATTTGTCCGAGTTTGTTAAAAATTACAAAATATTTGAAAAATCATTTGTCCGAGTTTTCAACTGTCCGAGTTTTGATAAATAACTAATAATAATTAGATAAATCAACTGTCCGAGTTTTCATTTGTCAGAGTTTTTAAATTATTAAAAAAAAATCAAAATATCATTTGTCCGAGTTTTCAACTGTCCGAGTAGGGGCAACATCAAAATGTGACACTGCGCGCCGAGACTAGCGTGTCTAAAGCGCCTGTTCAGAAATCGATGTGAACCCCTTCTGTGAAGGAGTCAGGCATTGTGCGAGCCGCGAGAGCCCCTCACGACGAATTAAGAAAAATTATTTTATTTTTATATAAGACTAATTTTACTATATTAATTATAAAATTAAACTCTCATCACCTAACACAACCAACCAAACTTGCTGATAATATAAAATACCCCCGCCATTATTATATTATCAGAAAGTTTGGTTGGTTGTGTTTGGTGATGACAGTTTAATTTTATAATTAAAAATTGTAAAATTAGTCTTATAATACAAATAATATAATTTTTCTTAAGTCGACGTGAGGGCCTCTCGCGGCTGGCACAATGCCTGACTCCTTCACAGAAGGGGTTCACATCGACTTCTGAACAGGCGCTCTAGACACACTAGTCTCGGCGCGCATTGTCACATTTTGATGTTGCCCCTACTCGGACAGTTGAAAACTCGGACAAATGATATTTTGATATTTTTTTTAATAATTTAAAAATTCGGACAAATGAAAACTCGGACAGTTGATTTAACGAAATATTATTATTATTTAAACCATACTCGGACAAATGATTTTTCAAATATTTTGTAATTTTTAACAAACTCGGACAGTTGAAAACTCGGACAAATGAGCCTCACCCGTTTTTAGGTACACATAACTTTTACAAAAACCTATCAACTTGAGATTTTTGTACTAAGTTTAATACATCATTACCAACAATAATATGAAGTAAAACAAGTTTTCAAGCAAAATTAAATTTTTAGTATGATTTTTAAAATTGTATGAAATATCTTGTAATTTTTTAACATAAAATATATTTTTTTTTTATTCAAAGGTTTTTGGTTGTTATGGAAACTGATTCGTATTATTGTCCCTTATCATATGAGGAACATACACATCAATTTTTATTGAAATCTAAATAAAATCCGTAAAGGTGAGTGAGCGTAGCGAACGAACTTCAACCAGGACGTGATTGAGCCATGCGAACGAGCTTACTTGTGAAGTTAAACGGGGCAAAGCCCGCGGGTACAGCTAGTTGTATTGTAATTGATGAAGACTGCAGACTGACTGACTCACTCACTCATCACTAATTCTCCCACTTCCCATTTACCTAGGAGGCTGAAATTCGGTACACCGATTTCTTTGGGATTAAATAGGAAATCTAAGTAGTTAACAATAAAATTGTCTTCAGCTGTTCCATTAGGATGAGAAATCTACTAAGGGAGTATGTTTTATCTATATTTTTATTCTGATCGGGCTTTCGGGCTCCGCCCCCAGTGGCTCTGGCTGGAGTTTCCCATGTTAACCTTATGATTTTTCATATTTAAAAGGAATTTCTTAACAGCTGTTTCAATTAAACAAGTTGGTTCTGTTCTATGATGTTCAATAGCATTAAAGTTACAAGGATTACCAACAGGGTGCAGCACTATTATTTTTTTTTATTTATGACTACAGCCAATTTGCAACCAAAAGGGAAGTGAGCGTAGCGAACGAACTTCAACCTGGAAGCGAGTTAGCGTAGCGAACGAGCTAACCTGAAGGCAAGTGAGTGGAGCGAACGAGCTCCAACGTAAAGGTGAGTGAGCGTAGCGAACGAACTTCAACCAGGACGTGATTGAGCCATGCGAACGAGCTCACTTGTGAAGTTAAACGGGGCAAAGCCCGCGGGTACAGCTAGTTGTATTGTAATTGATGAAGAAAAGTGTACCTGAAAAACCACTTAACTTTCGGAAAACGACAAAAGTATCCCTGTCACGGGTAGTAGTACTGTAAGCGCACGACTTGTTTGCGCGTGGCCCCTCCACCGCCTCCTTAGCCAGGAGGGGCCCCCACCACTGCCCGGCTCTTGGCGATCTGCTACTAGTCGCCCTAAAAATGTTGTCTATACTGCTTCTACTCCCAGCGGATGCGTAACACCAACACATGACACCTGTTGGTCTTATAATATTTCCATCGCTTCTCTGTGAATGGTTTGCCCTTTTTTACGGGTAGCTGCCATAATATTAATCTATGTTAGCCTAGCCTGACACTTTTTTAACCCACGGCTTAACAATCACTCAATAATTACTCAACCGCACTACTCATCTAAACAGCACAGTCCAATAAACTGACAGTCGATAGAACACGATAGAATACAATACTCTTCCGGTCATAATATAGTGTTATAAAATACTTTACGTACGACATTAAGAGACCGGCATTCGTTTTATCAACTTAGGGATATAAAATAAATAACTGCAAGTCATTAACCGTTTTAAAGGGTGTTCGGAAAACCCGTCCGATATTTTAAGGTGTTATTTATTGTACATAATATGAAAATAAGCAAAAGTTTCCATAATTTTATGTACTAAGCCTTATGGTTTTCTGTTTATATATATATCTGTATGTGTTTTTACATAGATCTATATCTATATCTTAAGATATCGCCTATAAACGTTAAAAATTTACACCTAAAAAGTCAAACTTCACGATTAAATTGGAATATAGGCCTAATATGATTTTACCGTTTGGTGTACATTTAAATAAGTAAAAAAATAGTTATATCAAAATAAAATACTCTACTACAGTAAAAAAACAATAATATAGAACTCTTAGTATTTATCGAATTCAAATTTAAATTCTAAAAAATGTACGCAAAAAAGGAAAACAACGCGAACAGCGCTAGTCGAATGTTTTTAGAAAGCGTAGTCCGACCAATGCTACAGAAACTTTGGCTGCTTGGTGGGAGATTGGTACCGCTCTCCCCCCCCCCCCCGCACCCGGCTCGCAAACAAGTCGTACGCTTACAGCTGATTAAAAAAAATAGGGTGTTTAGTGTGAATTTTAAAAACAGTAAATAGGTGTGCAATTTTTAAGCCATCCTAATGATTGATAATTGATAAAAAAAGACACTTTTGGGGTTATGTAATATTTTATTATTGTTTGAAATAATCTAAAATCGTTTAAACATAACTTGCAAAGCGGACGCAGACAGTTGCATTGTTATGGCAGACTTAGGCCGCATGCCTCGGCATGCACTACATCTAACCTCCAGCGGTCACGTATTACTAAAGCTGCCTTAACTCAGTTAATATTCATCCAATCTTAAAGGTTAAGGTGTCAATCGATTTGTAATCAAATTATCTTAAAAAAGTTATACTTGTAAATATTTTGTAAACTCAGCGGTTTTTGAGTAATTTAAGAAACAAAATTTTAAATGGCCGCCATTTTGTTTTATGAATTTAAAAAAATGTTCATAATTTTTTTGTAGCTTTGTCTAGTTGTCATAAATGTTTATGCAAAGTTTAAATTTTTAATCTCTAACCATTTTTTAGAAAACAATTAATAAGTGAAAAAAAAAACAAAATGGCGGCTGTGTGAGTAACTAAGGACTTCCGGTCAATTTAAATATGATATTTGGATTTGTTTCTTACCCAGGAACAATACCCTAAAATATCCGACACGAATTCTAAAACACCCTGTATACATGTTTCAAAATGGTCTCCAAAGAGCAATAAATTCATACTGTAATTTCAGATCATGATGGTATAATGTTATTAGTACTCATATATTTTAGTATTGATAAGGTAAAAGCCCAAAAAGTTAGTTAAGCTAGTCAATGATTTCAATATAACAATGTTTTTAAATAAGATAAGTCAGATCAATTTGTGTATAGCTTAGGTAAAATACAAGATAAATTTAAGACTTTTCATGATTTGTTTTTGTGGGCAGTGGATGAAGCGTTTCCTCTCGTAACTTCTTCCACCAAGTCAAAAAAGTTGACAACAAATGGTATGACAGTAACGACAGTAGTTTACAAAAAATGAAAGATAACTGTGTATTTGTTTATAGTTTAATTAAGATAGTTATAAGAATTTAATGAGATTACGAAGTAGCTGTAAAAATTACAAGAGTTGATTATTATAATGGTTTGATACAGAATTCAAATAATAAATTAAGAATGTTATGGCAGATCACTAACACCGTAGCTTGCTGAACAGTGTGTAAACCTGCTACTTCATCGATTGAGATAAAGCCCAACAGTTTTAAAGATTTTTTTGTTGCCCATATATTTTTTTTATTTTAATATAGTGTTAGCAATGGTATTCCGCTAAAGTTTGGAGACAATCACTTATAATTTGGAGACAATATAATTAAATAACAACTGATTCATTAGTTGATTTGTAATTAGGAATCACGTCTCTATTTCACAGTAAATATTCTCTCAATTGCCAAACACTTTTTTTAAAGTAGAGGCTAGATTTAACTATTGTCAATTCCAAGTATATATTCTAGTTTGTTTGTTTTGATTTAACCTCAAAATTTGACACATATGAACACATGATCGCACTACAGCCAAATAGGTTCATCTTCAAAGATATTCCACCACACCTTAACTGCTCCTAGCTAAAAAAAAAACCAACTGCAAATTATACGAATGTTTTTAAATTTCAGCAAGTAAGAGTTGAAGACACGTTTTTGGCAATCAATAATCTAAATAATAGTAAGTGT